GTATTAAAGTACACCATTTTGGGTGTACTTTTGCTGCCTTTTAAAAAGGAAATTTTTAAACCCAGGAATATTTACATATCTGGGTGTCTGAGGTATGAAAGTTTCACTCCTGAAGTGTAACACAACTGTTATATTTCAGAATGAAGAAGAAGAAAAAAGTTGCTACCCATTAAAGATAACACCTTTTTATTTTAGGAAAAATGATTTGTTGCTTCTGTGGAACTTAATTGTGTAACTAGAAATCTTACTGCATTTCTGTGTCACAGTTTCCTCTAATGCTGTTTAAAGTCACACTCACAGTCACGTATGTGATGATTTTGATCATTTGTCTCCCGGTCAGGAGTCCAAGCAGGCCTCAGGCCAGCAGTGAAGGGGCACACTGACATGTCAAAATTTATTACCAATGCAAATCTATGATCCTACTTTAACAGGTAAATGTCCACGTGACAAGAAATGCCATCACAGCTGGCAGATGTTTATATATCACTGAGACTCAGCCTCAGTGACTAGAAAGGACCCTGAATGCAGCCATTTCACACCCCAGATTCACAGGTGAGACTGCTCTGGGGATCCAGAAGTGCAACAGCATTGCTCTTTATGCCTCACTACCGCAAACACACTGCTACTGCCAGACATGGTCATTCACCACCTTTCATATTGTCTTTAAATGGAAACTTAAAGCTGTGCCTTTCATATCATCTACCTTTTCTCACATTACTTTGGAAAGCTTTCCGATCTCTTCCTAGATACCGTTTCTAGCTGCTCCTCCTCAGACATTTAGCCTGGCAATGGGATTGCTTCCAGGTAACCATAAAATCTGCTTGCCAGTCCTACTACCAGCCCAAGGATCTTTAAGTCAGTACAGCCAGCAGTGTTTCAGATTTCCATTTTTTGCATTCTTCAGTAAACCTGTCTCCCGCAGATTTTTGCTTCTAATGTTTGTTTACTTCACAGCTTATAAACAGCTTAGGTCTGATTCACAGTTCCCCTAAGACTGGTTCACACTGGAAGGTAAAGGGAAGTTACAGTGCCAGGGGCCCTGAGTATAACTGAGAATTCAGGCTTTCATTAGAGCATCCCTTGAGTCAGAACTTTCCTGCTCAGCTGTTTGATGGAACAAGATTCCCCTGTAACAGCTGCCAGGGGCACCTAGAGAGCCACCTCATGGGTCATAACTTCATATTTAACAGCAGCATTTCCAAAGTTCTATCAACCTCGCTCCTCAACAGACGATGTTCGTTACCACAGCAAAGATCTATGTATTGCTTTCATCTAGTATGTCTTCTCCGGTCCCATTTTCTTCCACAGAAATAACCTCTGGGCATAGCATGATGATATGTATGCATTACTATGATTTATTTTCAGAAAATATAACACTCATGGTGATAGTAGCCAGCATAAACTTTCAGAAATATATTTAGGTGTCAGAAATGACATATTTTAAGGAGAGGGGAGGTGGGAAAGTGGGAGGGAGAATGGATGCTTAAAACCAATGGAGAGTGTCTGCAACTTCCACTGTGATACAGACTGTGTTTCTTGATAAACTGGAGCTAATGAGAATTAACAGGGATCAATTAAAATTAATGATTGAACAGTATACACATCATTATCTTTCTTGTCCTTGTAAGACTTTTCATGCCACTCCAGCAGGCTGTTTGTGCTGAGGCCAGGACTGTAAGCTAACGATGGTATGTAATGCTTCCTTTTGTTTTTTTGGCTTTGATGGGTCGTTCACAAATCTTATGGGCTTTGTTGCTGCATTCATTTGATTTTCTTCTTTCTATGTTATTAAGTGGGGAAATGAGACCAAGAGAGACCCGCATTTGAGGGCAGAACTCTCCCTGAACTGGACTGTTCCCTGCTGTAGCCGCTCCCTTCTTCATATAAGCAAGTAGAAAATTTCTTCTAAACCAACTTTCGACATGTGTTTTTGGTGTTTTTTTTTTTTTTTTAAATTTATAAAGGCAGTATTTCAATCAAATGACAGGAACTTCACCAGTAAAGAAACATCATGTAATTTAAGGGTCTGCTTCAGCTACTGTCCTTTTAAGCAAAACTTCCCCTCACATGTGGTTGACAGGCTATCTTAATCCTTGGTTTGTAGGTATAACCTTCCATCTCAGTTTGTAAAGCCAGCAAGCAGCTTTTGACCTGGCTTCCCTTCTTTGTTGGAGGTAGGTGTTACAGTAACACGATACAGCAACTACATTTTTAAAAACAAAATCCAAGGTCAGATGGCTGTCACCCAAGGTCAGAAAGAAAGAGATTCAAATGGTTCTTGACCACCAAGGAAGAAAACCTAAGGGTTAAACGTTCAAATTACACAAACCTTGGCAGGAGGGATTTTATTGTTCTTGTGCTGTTTTCACAGGGAGCACCGAGTATCTCTGTGAGAACTGAACTTCTATCTTTTAGAGCATGTTGCTAATATTTTTGCTAGAGAAATCAGTTATTTGGAGACTTCAGCCATCCAAATTGTCAGTTTGTCCTTAGTTTGTCTCATTTCTTAGTTTGCAGACTGAACTCTAACACATGCAGTCAGTCAGTGCAATAGGAAACACAAAACAACCCAGCAAGGATCTCCTGAGGTCACCAGAGAAAAAACTCTTTGCAAGAAGGCTGCCAAGAAAGCAACAACGCCAGAAGACAAGAAGAAGCAGAGTTGAGTTTCATATTCTGGGCTATTTCACAAGTAGCCTAGCAGAACAAGGTATTAAACCCCAGAATTTCATGCAAATAAAAATTAATATACACAAGTACTCAAATGAAACTAAGCCTGCAAATAGGTAACTAGGAACTTTGCTTGATCTTTGTGGATGACGTGCAACCTGTATAAGGTGAAGAGGCGGCTAAAATTTTGGAGGCTAACTAAATGCATTGGTTCTAGCAGCACAAGCTAGAAAACAAATAAGCTGAAAACACCAAGGAGTAGAAAGTGTCAGGACCATAAACCAATGCAAGTTCCTACAAGCACTCATATCAGAAGACAAGCGTGGAGACTAAAATGAGTTGCTTTGGCCTCAGGAGAGGTAGGGGCTGATACAATGATTCAGTGCTTTTTTTCCAGACACAGTCCCCACAGCTAAGCGGAAACAGTTTGAATCCTCGCCTCCTGTATGATGGATAGTCCCCCAGCAAACAGGATGGCTTGCCTGAGGCCAGGCAATCTGTGCCACTAAACGGGAAGCAATCTGTTGAACAGAGTGAGAACAAATCGGTAGGCAACTCCCTTGCTATGAAAAGGGGTGATTGAAAGAAGACATGGGAGAGGTCCATCAAATGTGTTGTGACTATTCATTATTCCTCACAGGATGGGAAGGAGGGGACACTGGTGGCGTGGGCAAGCTCCAGGTTTAGAAGGAAAGAAAAGGCGGTCCTTTGTCCCCAGTGCACAGGGTGACGCTGTGGAACTTGTCGCCACAAGATGGTGAGTCTGCCACCACGATTCAGAAAGACTGATGCAAAGAGAATGGGGCACAGTGGCCTGGGTGCTTCACCTAAACTGGTGATTTTCAGAAGTTAGAAAAATGAGGAAAAGGATTCTCTCTTGGTTTTTTTCCCCCCTAAGCATTCCCTGCTGCTTTCTGCTGGAGCACATAATTCCAGATACTGAGTTAGATCCTTTATACAACCCAGTACAACAGGTTCCATGTGTTCATGTCTATCTTATTTTATATTTAGGACATAAAAAGGTGATGATAATTCTTCAAGATGATTTCTTGAGAACCATTTTCAAGTGAATATTTACAATCTAAAGTATCAATGTCATAATTTCTGTATAGGGGTAGAAATTACCCAGAATATCTAAATAACTATGAAACACTGCTGACTGGTTTGCAATACTTGCAAAGACTAATCTCAGGAATGTGGGAGCATTGAGAATATAGGATAAGAAAAATAGAAGTAAGAATGTAAAGTCAGGGAAAGTGGAATATCCAGAAAGTAGCCACCAACATTGATAAAAAATGCAAACTAACAAATATTTAACCATGTGCCAAGAACAGAAAATCTCTTTCTGGCCCCAACCAGTGATCTGTTTATGCATGCAGTTTATACAGTAACTGCTACTCCTTGCAATTTTAAACTAGTTAATGTAACTACAACAACCAACCCTGAGTGTGAGCTACTGCAGTGTCCAAAATGCAATCTGTAGACCACAGAGCTTTTCCACAGAGTGATGAGCCTGATTCCTCTTCATTTTCAGAGGTGAAATCAATGTACAATCCAGCTAAAATATTTTATGAAGTTTTTTTCTATGTGGAAGGAGGCACAAAGACATTGTTTAAGCACTAATGGGAAGAGTGGGCCACATGTTCACAGTAGAGAGAAGGGCGATGGAAAAGTTCCCTATCACTTTATTGTGAGGAAAAGAACCCAGAATATTGAAGTTATAAAGCAAGCTGTTAAATCCAGGACTACCCCCAGATTTTTACCTGGAGTTGGCCTCAGTACTCAAAACAAAATGAAGAGTTATTTTTTAGGTATAGGATAATCACATATAATGCTATTTAAGAATTCAGCCTAATAGGATGGTTTGGGAATCGTCCAGTATCTAGTCTATAAACAAATCTGCTGCACTCCAAAGCTACAAAAGGGTGTTTTTTCCTCACAATGAATTCAGTTAGTTAGAGCCCAGGAAGCGCATATCTTAGAGGAAGACGAAGGAAGTTGGAAAGTAATATCTTTCCAACAGATCCTGACCTGTGTCTACATATTTTCAGGGTATTGTAAGAAGCTGCCCTTACAAAGCCAAATACTGACCTTTTAATCTCCCACAACTTCCCAGGAGGAAAAGAGCTTCTCTCTGTTTTAATAATGGTCAGAGCTGTCACTCTCCTCCCTGAAGGGAGCAAGCCCGGCAAAAGAAACAAGCAAACACTCACCACTTACTGTGGGTTTCTCATATTTGAATTCTCTGCCCCTGCCACGTCTCCCCAAGCAAATACCCCACAAGACGCAGATACAAGGAGAGGGTCTGGCAGCGTGTGGTTTTGACTTACATATGCTGTGAAGCGTTGGGGTAGAGCTCTGAGAACTGCGGTGCCGAATCCTCGGGGCCATGGGGCGCAGCGTGGCTGATGACCATCATTATGGGCCTATGGGGATATATCCTCTTAGACATTCTGAAGTAATTAATGCTCTCATTAGTGATTAGGTCTGTGAAGTAGTCCTGGAACATACGATTAACACAAAGGAAAAGTTACAAAGCGCATGATTAATTAGATCACATACTATCATGTTATTATGTTATTTTCAAGTCCTCATTAAAGCTCAGATCAGGAAGTAAAAACATACCATCAAAGAGATGTATGATTCGCGGGAGCACAGGGGAGACCGAGCAGTAATTACTTTCTTAAGCAGGGGATGCCACATAAAATGAGACAGTATTTTGCAAATCAGATACAACAGAAGGCATTAAGTAAATATGATTACCAGATTTTGTAATATAATGCTAAGTACCATTTAAAATGAGAGACTATGCTGACAAAGATATGTTTCTTGAATTTTACTGATAAAACACTTTCACAAGGTAATGGCTCCTAACTGCAAGAAATCATTGACTCATACGTGTGTTTTCTGTTTACATAAACATTTTTTGCGTACTCTTTGTTCAGAGTATACTTTTGCATACGTACAAAGTGGAAGAAAACTACAACAGGCAACAGATTGCAAAAATCTTTATCAAAGAAACTGCAAATGTGAATGCAGGGAGCAGTTGAATTCCTGCAGGCTCTGTTCATTTAATTGTGCAACATTAAGCAGCGCAGCTGCTGAGATTAAAGTTGTGGCTCGCTAATAAACTGGCTTAACCCACAGCCAAGGTGGCAAATGGAAGACTACAAGGGAAAGGGAGGAAGTGGAACTCAGAAAAAAAGATGAAAACTTAAATTAAACCACCTGCCACCTTGGAGCCTTCGCTGTTGGCCTGGAGGTCTGGTGCGAGCTTCATTGAGAAAGTGCTGAGACAATGTTTGTAATTTCAAGCACTTCCAGGCATGACTAATCATATGCTGTGGATTCGCGGCCCCGAACAGCTGCAAAAGCAGAGCCTGAGGGACAAGGTCTGTGTCGCATGTCCATGCTAGGACAAGCCAACCAGCTGTGACCTCTTCGCTTGCCCGCTCCCTGTCCCCCCCTGCCCCTTCCCCTCTCCGGTAGCACACTTGGGGCACACACGGTAGCCCTGGCTGCTACAATCCTTGCAGGGGTATGGAAGAGACAGTGAGAGACCTGTTGGTGTACAAAACTGGGTAATGAGTGTGAGGCACAAGTGTTGTGAAAATTTCTGGGTTTGGGGTCTCTTCAAATGAAATGCCTCTATGACTGCTTTCCCAAAGCATCTGCTCCCCTCCTATTTGCCTATTTATTCTAGCTACATGCTCAGGGTGTGTAAGGAATGTATAACTAACCAATATTCTTTATTTTCTTCCTTTTTTTTTTTACTCTGTATAAATATATAATCACGATCATGTAATTTCTACGGGTGGGGAAATCAGAAACAGGCATCGTGAGCTTCCAATAAAATCTCATTACATGGGTCAGAAACCACAGCTGCAACATCTGTATCATCTTCCTTGAACTACAGTCTGAGGAAATACCAGATTGTTTTCTGCAGGCTGGAAAGTCTGCGATCTGTGCTTCTACGCCTTTCCGAGAAACTTCACGGCAGTGGGCAGGTCACCTTGGCATACTTTCCAAACTTTGTCAAGAGCACAAAACAAGCTCTGAAGTTTTCCAACGGCTGTGTTCTCTCGCTTATCTATCCTTATAGTCATATCCGGAGCCTGACACCACAGACGCACAGCCTTTTATTTAGTGTGCACTGTATAATAGGAAACAGCATTAACTAAGGTTTCTTCTGTGGGTAATAACTGACAACACTCAGCTAACTTTAAAGTTCAGTTGCACAAGGGCCACAATCATTTTGGGGAATAACCTTCATTTACTATTTGCTTGTGGCACTGCACCATCCCTTTCTAGCAGAGAGAGAGGGGAAGAAAGGGGGAATCACCAGGCTGCACTGAAGAGCCCTAGGAATCTTTCTTCCACGGTGCAATTAATATTCTCACATGGAAATTGATCTGCAATGCCCTGGAGAAAAAATGACATCTCAATTCCTTGCTTGTAGTTAGCTAGTTAATTAATTAATTATCTGGTTAATTAATTATCTGAAAGTGATTTTTGTATGGATTAATGATGCAGCATTTATGTGTCTGGAGAATACCTTTGCGTAATCAAATCCATGCTTCTCTTTGTTACCATTGCGAGAAATGGTGTAATTATAGAAGCGAGAGTTCTTCACTAATCCAACCCACTCTCTCCATCCAGGAGGAATGTAGCTGCCATTGTATTCATTGAGGTATTTCCCAAAAAAAGCTGTGAAGGTAAAAAAAAAAACAAACACACACACATGAGGCTTTGCAATCCAAGTCTTTGAGTAAAAAGTATGCATGAATGAAGAAAAACTGTGTTAGAATCTGAGTCAGAGTTGTTTTATCAAAAATATTCCTATTATACCTTAGAGGGTTTTGAAATTAAAATGTTATTTCCAGAATTTTTTGTGAGACTTGAAAGCCTTCCTGACTTTAGTTTTTCTTCTTAATCTTTTGGAATCTAGTGCTCACATGAAATATTTTGGGGTTTCTTTCTAGAATGAGTATGTTTCTCTTGGTTTCCACTTGAAAACAGAATAAAAACTCAGTGCCCAGGGGAAACATCTGAGAAACACCTTGTGGTTTTAAGCAAGTCCTGTGATGTTTTGGAGCTCAGCTTCTGACTTTTGAAACTGGGCTTGGCAACCTGGCTAAGTTTCCTCGTTTGATAAAAGGTCTGAGAAGTGCAGATTTCTGTTCCACTGGACTGCATTTGAGTAGAGCAAGAGGGGATCCCCACCCTGCTTTGCCACTAGAGCTTCTCTAGGGCAAAATTAACCAAGAGACAAAGACTTGGAGGTCAACTACCTCTACCTGGTCTGCCAAACTAAGAGTATGTTTTTCCATTAGCTCCAGGTGACAAGTCAGAACCCACTCAGACTGAAACTTTCAGTCTTTGCTGTCGGGCCCAAAAGGGTTTGCAGGTGCTTCTGCCAATTCCTCTGGAAGGAAGTACAAAGGAAAAAAATACAGCGGGCTTCCAGCTATCTGGGAGCCAAACATACAGAGACACCAAAGGCTGGCCAACAAGCTTTGGGAGCATGGATTAACACTGGCATGGCACCCTGGTAAATGCAGCCGTGTTGCTTCTAGGGACAGATGGGTATGGAAGCTCTTTAGCTGCCTGTGTATGGTTTCTGGCCTGGATAAAAAAAAGTCAGTTTGGATGGCTCTGCCCTGCTTTTCCACTGCCTGGGAGGTGTGGTGACAAAACACCTGCCTGGGCCTGCAACTTGGTTTTTTAGGGATTTATTAGCTCCGGCTCAGTTCCAGCAAGTTACTGGGATGTCTGAGTAACATCACTGTTTGCATTTTTAGTTTTCTTGAGGTTTATAAGCCCCCGGAGTGTCACCTATGCCAGCAGTTCTGTCACCTATGTCCCCAGCAGTCAGCAGTCCTAGTGGTCACAGAATGAGGCACCTCTGAAGAGGAGTGAATGCCAAAGGCCTTTCCCTTTCCAGGGACAGAGCTGTCCTGGTTGATAGTTGCCCACGGCACAGCACGCCTTCGTATTGCACAGCCTCTGCCCTTGCTGCCATCCACATCTCAGCCAACCAGGCCTGCCTGTGGAGAGCTGCTGCCCAGCATCACTTCCTCAGCTGGGCTTCGGGACACATGTCAAATCCCCATCCTCCTTTCCTACTAGGAAATGAAGTCACTTTGGAAAACCTCACACTCAACCTAGACATATTCAATCTAACCAAAAAAGTACATTTGTGGAAAGGCTTAAATAGTTCAAATCTGGCTGATGTGGGTATGGTAACCTTCCTGGGAAAGCTGGTGGAAAAATCAAAATGTTCATAATTAGGACTTTCCTGAGACAACATAAATATGGTGTGATTGAATCATGTAACTGCCAAATGTCACTAACCAGGGGTTACAATCATATATGATGTTACTTTCCTATACCGCATGGAATGTGACATATAAACAAGTCCTACAAACACTAGATCAGGCTTCCAGCTCTTCCTCCCACAAACACTAAGAAAGCAACCCAGCTTCTGCCTGTTTTTTTCTCCCGAGGCCAACCAGAAGTCAAGAAGCTTGAGGTGAAGAGGGTGATTTTGGGGAGGGAATACATGCCCAGCACCACTGCCTCCCGAAACAAAAACGATACCTCTCCTCTAAGCCAAACTGGGTTAAACTCTCAGGAAGTCAGATGTGCAGGGCAAGTGTAAGGGTAAATGTTGAAATACTGTGGGAACAGAAGCCAAGGAAAGAGAAGAAGGGGAAGAGAAGTCAGTGAGGGACAACAGTGAGGAAAAGTATGGGAGAATGATGTGACCAAAAGAGAGGAAGCATTAATGAGCCAAGCAAAATCAAGGTCAGTCTGTGGTTACAGGCAAGATCTGAGCGCCCTAAACACCATCCCAGATCCACCAGCAACTACTGGGTGACCTTGGGGAACCTCCACGTGCTGTGTTCTAGCACTGCATAAAGGACACTCCTGCTATGTAAAGGACTCTAATGTCAACCTGCCTCCCACAAAGATCAGAGACTTTCAAGCTGTGAAATGGAAGTTATGGAAATTTATCATGCGGGATGGTTTGATAGCTCCACCTATAATTAATATTGACTACTACTGAGACCTGAACTGCCCCACCTATAATTAAGATTGACTAATACTGAGACCTGAACTCTGCTATTTACAGTTTTGCCAAACTTCAGTCATTAGTGATGATAGTTTCCATGCTATCTGACTCAGGCTATGGAACATTTTAGCCAAACAGTTCAGCAATTTCCAAGAAAAAGGCTAGGGAAAAATGAATGTGTTTGCCCATTTAAAAATCATTGGCAAGCTTTTCTTTAAGAAGTACTAATGTCTCTTGGTTTTGAGGTAGTGCCTTTGTAAATAACAGAGATGACTATGAAAATCTGTCTCAAAATGGCCAAGCTCCGAAAAAATAACACACAGATCATCAAGAAAGACTACAGCTTCTCAGTTTAATGTCACCATAGAGCATTCCTTTATGGACCTGAGAGAATCCCCACAGCTTCAGTTTTGGCACTAAACCAAAGAACAATCAGCTTCTTTCTCTCCTCAGTCTCTTTTGATATTAAGACATTACCTGAGAGAAAGCCACTAGAATAAAAAGGAGAGACAAAATGACCTGGGGCATAAGGACAAGAAAAGGTGAACTGAATTTAGAAAGGGAAAGGAAGCCTTAGATTTGGTTGGTGGGGGCCAGTGCATATTGGAATTTCCTTGCTTTAGATTACTTAATTTTCTAAATTCAGTAATGTATTGTTAGCTCCTCTTTGGTCCCCTGAACCCCATATTTTGGTGCAATGTTATGAGACTTCAGACTGACAGACTGAACCATTCTCATTTGTGCTGGAAATGATTTAGTATTTTATCATAAAAATAATCTCGGAGCTGTCAAGTTTTAAGCAGCTCCTTGAGTGACAGTTTGCAGAAATAGATGTTTCCCCCCACTGCAGAATAAAGCAGTTCCCATGTCTAAATACTAGCAGAAGCAGCAGTAGCCGTGATAATGCATCACATTTGCCAAATTGCTTTAACCAAGAGTGGTTTGTTGGTCAAAAGCTCAGGAGGATATGAGTAATTAGACAGATGAAGGGAAAAGCCAGGCTTTTACTGAAACACAAGAGTTCAGTCCCTTCACCGTGGGGTTTTCTGAGTACCACTGAGTATAGGATAGGGCAAGTGAGTCAGAGCTGGAGCCCAGCGCCAGCAGTTAGTGTCTGGCTCTTCACGCTCCGAATGAAGACAAGTGCCAGAGTAAAAAGAAAGCATAGTAGTGTCCATGGGGCCAAATAATAATCAGCAAGTCATCACGATGGGTGTCCTAGTTGTTTTTTGTTCACCAGAGGATTGGAAACAACTAAAGTACTATGGAACATGTCACAGAACAGCCCAGGAGCTGACATCATGATGTGCAAATATCCTTGCTGGATCTTCACACGCTCAACTTGTAGAATCAACCCACGTCCTTAACTTAGCTGTAGCCCAACACTTGCTGAATTGCCCAAGCCTGAGTATTGACAGGGAATGCTCAGGCCTAGAAGCCACTTGGACTCAGCAGCTGCAGGCCTTAGGAAGCCACTTCTGCTTGTAATTAATAAAACGGAGATTCTGACTCAATGGGTAAAAGCCTCATTAAAAAGTAATGCCATTTCAAGGGACATCTTTTCATTATTGCATGTAATGGCCCCCACAGGGATAAGAGGAAAGATAAATGCCGATTTTTGAATGTTAATACGACAGTTTTTATCTGCATTCTGGCAGTTTTGCTAACTGTTCCCAGGACACGTTGTTATTTTTTAATCACATGTAGAGTAGCTTAGTGTATCAGAATAATTGTATTCTGTGTGAGCATGTTCAATTAAGTTTATGCAAACAACACCACATGGCATGGTGAACAGCTATACAGACACCTGTGTGTCTCAGGAGTGGCTGCAGAATATGTTGGGTACCCAATATGAATAGATGCCTTAGTACAGGGTTTTGTTTTCTCTTTAGCAATTAGCTGATGAGTCCTGAACCGGACCAAGAGATCCAGGGGGTTGCAATGGGTGCAAGACAAGGAGAATTTGACCCAGAGGATCTCTGGAGTTTGAAGCCAGGATATTTGTAGCTGAATGTGATTCAAATTCTCTTAATTCCCAGTATTCTTTTCCCCAGTATTTTCTACAAGCATTTATAACTAATGTTTATAGTAGTACACCACAGAATTAGTCCCCTAACTGCTGTCAGCATTAGCGGATTAGCATACAGGTGTACTGGGCTACATCTCTGGCGAGACATCTCTGAACTTCCTCGGATCAAAGGACATTATTATGTTCTCCACCCTTGTTATTTGTTGAGGCTTATGGCAACGTTTCCGATTTAAAACAAACCCAAACCTTTAAAAAGGCATGCTGCAGTAAGGTTTAGTCACCGTGACCCAGACAAGAGCTTTAAGTAGACAGCCCACTTCCTTTAACAAAGTCAGGAAACCATTTACAGGAGCTTGCAAAGCACTGTTTATATGACATTTCAGGGCTGACACACAGTGATTCTGTACTTCTGGGGACACAGCCCAACAAAACGGCAACTTCCGGATTATTCCAGTAAACTTCTCCTTGCTTTCTTCCCATTATGCAAATGATAGAATCAAACCAAAAATTTTGATTTTTTCCCTTCTGCTGAAAAATTATGGAGGATTAGTGCCTCACGTCATTAAAGAGCAGAAAGCCAGCTCAGTATGCCAGCACTACCTC